CCACCTGCTTCCGCAAATATTTATAGTTTTAGAAACCTATACAGGCTTGCTATGGGTTGGAATCAACTTGCTGACAGTGGGTTTGGTCTTGGGTACATTTTTTGGTATTGTTATACCTCTAAATAAAAGGGAAAACAGACTTCTAATTTTTAAATAAATTGCTACAGAGGGCCTGGAGCTGCTTTATGCCAACTGAAGGTTTTAAAAGGCAACCAGCATAGAGGAGGCAAGAGCCATCTGGCTCAAGCCACATGCTGGGGAGCAGGGGGAAGGCCGAGCTGGGCCTGCAGTGAATGGCTCTGCAGCTGCTGCCAGTATTCCACTGTGCCCAATCAGAACAATCCTGCCAGCCTCCCCAACCTTAGGACTTCATTGGCACCTACATGAGCAGCGAGTGTAGACAATGTAACCAACTCAATGCCACCAATTCTGACTCATCATAACCCTGTAGGGTCAAACAGAACTGCCCCCTTGGGTTTCGGAGGCTATAAATTTTTATAGGCACAGCGAGTCTCATCTTTCTCCCTGGAGCTGTTGGGGTAAACACTGTAGAACTACAAATATCCAAAATAGGGTAATAGGGATTTTTTTTTTTTTCTTTCCTTCAGATATTTCATCTCACTCATGAGCCTGGTGAGACAGGTAGAATGGAGCACTTACTCAGTTATTTTCAAGGTAAGATTTGGGGTGGTGGGGGAGAGGGGTGTATTGAAAGCTCCCCTGGGGATTTGGATCTTCCAGGTTGGGAAACAATGTATAAAGCAATATGATTATCTCCCCAAGAAAGCCAGGCTCTCAGGTGCTTTTCCTTCTAGGTCCCACTAGGAGGTCTGGTTTCCTCTTTGCTAAACTCACCTTTGGTTAGCAAAGAATGCACATCACCTGCTCCCTTCACACTCTTTAAGAGCAGTGCCTCTGCCATGTCCACAGCACTCGTGGTGGGGGAGGAAGGATGCTGGAAACAAATATGATGATAATCACCCATCTGTCAGTTTGCTGTACTGTGGTAGCTCGTGTGTTATCATGATGCTTGGAGCTACGTCACTGGTATTTCAACAACACAAAAGGCAAGTATGCACCTGGACTTCCCCAGATGAAATACAGAGAATTCAAGTTGACTACATCTGTGGGAAGAGACTGGAGCTCACTATCAGCCGCTAAAACCAGGCCAGGGGCTGACATGGAACAGACCATCAATTGCTCATATTTAACTTCAGGATAACACTGAAGAGAATTAAAACAAGTCCCTGGGAGCGAAAATATGAACCTTGAGTCTATATGACCTGAATTTTGAGAGATTTGACACGCTGAACACTAATGACAGAAGACTTGATGAGCCGTGGGAGGACATCAAGAACATCATTCATGAAGAAAACAAAAGGACATTAAAAAGACCGGAAAGAAAGCAAAGATCAGTGAGGATATCAGAAGAGACTGAAATTTGCTCTTAATCGTTAATGTAGCTAAAGCAAATGGAAGAAAAGAGCGTCAAAGAGGTAGCTTTGTTAAGGGGTAGCTTGGGAAGGCAGTGCCAGATATGATAATGAATTGTGCAAAGGCCTAGAGTTAGAAAACCAAGAAGGAAGAACACACTCGGCATGTCTGAGACTGAAAGAACTCAAGAAACAATTCAAGCCTTGAGTTGCAATACTGAAAGTCTATGGGCAAAATATTGAATGATGCAGCACCACCAAAAGATGGAGAGAATACACAGAGTCACTCTACCAAAAAGAACTGGCAGTATTCCAGCATTTCAGGAGGTAGCATGAGAAGAACCAATGGTATTGAAGGAAACAGTTCAAGCTGCACTGGATGCATTAGCCAACAGTAAGGCTCCTGGAAAGGATGGCGGCACACCAACTGAAATGTCCCAACAAAGGGATGAAGCACTGGAAGCACATGCTAACTAGCCTACGCCAGGAGATTTAGAAGAGATCCATATTTGTACCTATCCCAAAGAAAGGTGACCCAACAGAAAGCTCAAAGTACAGAGCAATATCATTAATATCACATGCAAATACAAGTTTGCTAACGATCATCCAACAATGGTTACAACAGTACAGGAAACTGCCAGAAGGTCAGGCTGGATTCAGAAGAGGATGTGGAACAAGGGATACCATTGCTGATGTTCAGATGGCTCTTTGCTCAAAGCACAGAATACCAAAAAGCTGTCTATAGTATTTGTGTTTCGTTGGCTATACCAAGGCGTTCGACTGTGTGGACAACCTTGAGAAGAACGGGAATTCCAGAGCACCTCATTGTGCTCATGAGGAACTCGTACATGGATCAAAAGGCAGTTGTGCGAACAGAACAAGGCAATACTGTGTGGTTTAACATCAGGAAAGGTGTGAATCAGGGATGGATCCTCTTACCATACTTGTTCAATCTGTACGCTGAGCAACTAAATCATCAGAGAAGCTGGATGATATGAAGGACGTGGCCCCGGGACTGGAGGGAGGCTTCTCCACGACCTGGGATGTGCAGACGCCACAACTTCGCTGCTGAAAGTGAGAAGGGCTTGAAGGGCTTGTTGATGAAGACTGATCAAGGACTGCAGCCTCAGTATGGGTTACAACTCAACATAAAGAAAACCGAAATGTGTGATAAATGAAGTTAAGGTGGAAGGTGTCAAGGATTTTGTCTTGCTTGGATCCACAATCAATGGTCATGGAAGCAGCAGTCAAGAAATGAAAAGAGAAGTTGCATTAAGTAAACCTGCTGTATAAGACCTCTTTAGAATGTTGAAAAACAAAGATGTTACTGTGAGGACTAAGGTGTTCCTGACTTGAGGCTTCATATGCATGTGAGAGTTGGACACTGACTAAAGACCGAAGAAGAAAAGAAGAATCCGTGCATTTGAGGTGTGGTGCTGGAGACTACAGAAAGTACCCGGGACTGCTAAAAGGACAAACCCATCTGTCTTGGAAGGAGTAAGGCCAGAGTCCTCCTTAGAGGCAAGGATGGCGAGACTTCGTCTTACATACTTTGGACATGCTGTCAGGAGAGAGCAGTCCCTGGAGAAGGCCATCATGTTTGGTAACGTAGAGGAAGAGGAAGGCCTTGAAGGAGCCGGGTGGACACCGTGGCTGGGACAATGGGCTCCAGCATGGGGAGAATGGTGAGGACGCCCCGGACTGGGAAGGCTTCATTGGGTTGTGCACAGACAGGGTCTCTAGGAGGCAGGACCAACTTCATAGCACCTAATAGCAACAACAACATGTGAAAACCATGAAGGAGATGCATCGAAATGCTAGCAGTGGTTACTTGGTGGCAAATGACTTCTTCCCCGCGAGGTTTTCTTTCCAATGGTCTGGATTCAATTTCACATGGAGGAAAACCAATTTCACATGGAGGAAAACCAACCAAACAAAAATTAAATGCGTCTAACAGGCAGACAAGATCCTCAGCGTTTGTCTGTCAACTGGGGTCATCTCCAGGGCCGGAGCACAGCACTTGTCCCACTCTCATGGCCGTCTGCGGGAAGGAGCACCAGGGGGCCTGCTGGCACCACGGACAGCAAGCAGGGAGGCGTGAAAGGCAAGGAGGCCTGGGAGGGGCCCTCTCAAGCTAAGTGCTGCCTAACGGAGTCCTGGAGAAAGACAAAAAGATTTCTACTCCTTTTCCTTCCCCCACTTCCCAAAGCCCAGTCTCCACTGAAAGCAGTCACTTGGCACCTCAGTCTTTCGTTTAAACATTGATTTATTTCATTTACTATACAAAATATTTATATCACCAGCTGCAACTGTCTGGCCTGGCAAGTTTGCAGCCAGGGTTGCTCTCTGCTGAAGTCTGGAGTGTGTAGGCATCCTCCTTGAGGTCCGTGGGAAGCCTGGTCTACTCTGGAGCAGCTGAAAGGCCGGGAGGTTAGCTGGCCCCTAAGTTTCTTGGCCCCAAGGGACTAAATAAGAGAACTGACCAAAATAAGAAATGTGACTAGAAAACTGCTCAAGAAATAAGCCGCCCTCCCTCCTCTATGGCACAACTCCCCACTCCCCCCACCACCCACCCTCATTTGCTAGCTCCAAAGGAAGATAGAAAAAAAGATCAAAGGAGAAGCCAAAAAGAGCCAAGACCCTTCTGAGCAGAGTTGGGTGGGAGAGAGTTAACTGGAAAAATAGAAAATCACAACCTATCAAAGGGTTTTGTTAAACAAAGCCTCTGGGATTTAAGGGTCTGCACAGGGATGCCGCTGTCCTGGCCGGGATGCAACAGTGACCAGGATGCTCTGAAAAAGAGCTCAGGCTAGAGCCAAACATGGCAGCTCGGACTAAGAAAGTCAATTTGATCTCCGGCTTCAATCTCGAGAAGGCCGTCAGCGTGGTGAATGCAAAATCTGGAAGTGGGGCAACTGCCAAAGATGGCAGAGCTGACCCAGGGGCCCCTAGCCGGAAACCCCAGTGTGGGGCTGAGGGGCAGCATCGGATGTGAATGACGACTAAACTGGCCAGTCCATATACCATGGGGAAAAACTGGGGCAAGCAGCAGCACCTTGTCCTGGTCCCTGAGAGGAGCAGTGACCGTGTGGCATGAAGGATCCTGGAGTGAGGAGGCCCTGGTGCTGGATCCTGGACCCGGGTGATAAGGGAAGTCAGCACCCACGCCAGGAAGAGACAGACAGCTGCCCACAGCATGAGGTCAGGCAGGAGCTGTAAGCGCTCCTAAGGGCTAGCTCCAAGGGCAGGGAGCAAGGGGAGGAGGGCTCAGGCATACTTCCAGGAGGCCAAGGCATTGTCCTGAGTCCCGCCTCTCTCAGGACTCCGTACACTTGCTGGTTTGGGCAACAAAGATGCCTTGTAATATTCTCAGAGTTAAGTGCTCCATCAGGAATTGAAACTTACAGCAAAGCCATCTATACAAAACAGAGACTTGAGGAGGCAATGAGACTTTGGGGCTTGAAACTATTTCCATCCGAATTATAATGAATAGCATGCTGTCATCTTCCCAGTGACAGGCTGCAGGCTCTCTCCCGTTATCGCTTGACCATGAACCACATCAAGCTTCCTCCTTTCTTAAGCTTCCCTTCTAGGTACCTGAGAGGGTGACGTCAGGGCAAGAGCTGGCATTTCCGGTAACACAGTTCCCAGGGAGCTGATGCCAGGGGATGGAGATGGGCACAAGCACTTCAACTCCTGGCACCTTTCGCTTTGCCTCAGGGAACACCTACGAAGAGCGATGTAGGAGCACTGGGACACCCACTCTTATCGTCTCAAGCCCTTGCTACCCACTTTTCTGCAGCAGAAATCCAGAAGAGGCTGAGTGGGACCCTCTGGAGTCAGGTACGAGCAGAATCCCCAGCTCTTGGCAGGCTGCACACTTGGAGGTAAATAACCAGGCCCAGCCAGCCCTGTGTGAGAGGCAAACTGGGAGCAGAGCGTCAGCAGTCTTCAAGCCAGCTGTGCTGCCAGCCCAGGTGTGCCCCAAACCCAAGAAGAGGCATATGCTCAGCAGTGGGGCTCCAGCCCAGCCATCATTCACATTCACAGGGCTTCCATCTGCTTCTCTCACCTGGCTCAAATTCAAGGAAAGAACAGAGTTCTTGACGGATCACTGATTGATTCTAGGAACGCCTGCAGGAAAGGCTCCCTTTCCATTCTGATACCACAACTATTAAAAAAAAAAAAGAACCTTTTGTGGAGTTTCAATGAGGACCATCACTTAGAGGCCACCCAGTGCCACGGCCGGGGCCTGCCACTGTGCAAAGGGACAAAACTAAAGGCTCGTGTGAGCCCTTTCCTCTTTGTGCGTCTCTGGCTCCTGATGAGAAGAGGTGAACCCTGTCCCAGAGAGAGGGGTGCATGTACCAATCAGGGTGCCTACAAGACGCACAGGCAGAGGGAGCTGGGACAAGCATGGCCTGGAGGCTTTCTGCACAACTGAGTTCCAGCAGAGCTGGGCTCTTTCCCAACCCCCTTGGAGACGGAGGCAGCCCCAGCAGCTGAGCTCATCAGAGAACCCACCAAGACAACAGCAGCTTGGCCCTCTTTTCGGCAGTGAGCAGAGAGCTCAGATGACGTACCATGCTAACGTGGCTTGTAGTGGCTATGGAGGGGAAGGGAGTGAGAAAAGGACGAGGCTTGCAGATGACAAATACTCCGGACGGACACGGAACATGCTGCCTCTTCCAACTGATGGCTCTGTCAGTGCTGGGGTGAGAAGTCACAGTGTCTGTCATGGGCAGCGAGCTCAGGGGCTGAGTGGATGGCAGGCACGAAGTCAGAGCATGCCAAAGCCCTCGCAGCCCTCACTGATGGCCAGCTGCAGCATCCTGTGCACCTCTTCATACGAGTCATACGTTGGGAGGCACAGCTGGTTAAAACTGGAGGCAAGGAAGGAAGTGATGAACTCAGCCCACCAGCACACCCGCGAAGGCTGCCCAAGGGAGCCCAGGAGCGGGCGCGGAGGGGCCGACGACTTACCATGTGTGTGCAGTAGGTAACGTGCTATGGGTCGGAGCGGCGATGATCTGGAATGAGGGGCACAGGGCAGCAAAACCTCCAGGTGGCAGCTGAGAGGAGCCTGTAGTGAACTGAAGCAGCCGAGCCAACTCTTCCTGGGTTAAACTGGAAACCACGGTCCAAAACCACCTCATGACCTGCCAGGGGAGCACATGGCTGCAGTCAGACCCACGCTGTCTCCCAAGGCGGGTGTGTCACGGGGCCACACTGAGGACACAGGGAGGAGCAGGCAGGGTAGACCACTTCAGGCCCTGAGCGCACTGCCCAGTCGGTCAGAAAGGTAGTTGTTATTGACTGCTTGGTTCTACTTCTTTGCCTGCCCTTCTTCCTGTCCCTGCCGCAGTCGCAGGGCGGCCCCATCCCACCTGCACAGCCAGCTGCCTTGCTCTCCTTTACGAGCCCGTCGCCAGGGCCACCTTGCGGTTGCCGCTGAGATTTTCTTCTCTAACTTTTGTTTTGGGGACATGGGACACAGCCAAGGTTAAGAAGTCCGGCTGGCTCACCTTCTCTCTGAAATGCCAGGAGCCACCAACCACCACTGCATGGGCTTTGAAGTCAGACACGCTGATGTCTCCCGTCCCGCACATCAGCAGCTGGAGGAAAGGTGGCCAGGGGTTATTAGGACAATCAAAGGGGCACACGCCCAACCTGAGGTCAAAACGCTGACATGCAGACTGGAGCAAAGGACAACGCCAGGAAGAAGAGAAAAGGCGAAGTCATCAAGCCAGCACAAAGCTCTGAGAAAACCAACGGATCCGGTATACCCCAGGTCGGGGCCACGTACCTCTGGAAAGCTGCACGGTGCCCTAGTCCAGGGGTGGCAAGAGCCAATCCTGTCCCTCACGACAATTTAAAAATGTTTGTACAAACAAGACCAACATGATTTGAAGAATATCCTTCAGGAATTTTCAATTTTACTTCAGAGCCACTCTCTGGCCACAGTATGTCCACCCCTGCCCTACCCTACAGAATCAGTTGCTCGAGAAGGGGAGTATGAGCAGTATGTTTGAAGAAAGTTTCCCAGGTGCTATCGATGACACCCTTGATTAAGAATCGCCACCATGCATTATTTTTCATTGAAACAAAGAGCAAAACACAAGGATCCAAGTGTTCTGCTCTGGGAAAGCCTGAGAACACCAGGGAGAAAAGGCAGGCCCTCCTCACTGAGGAGGACCCCAGTCCCCACTGATGAATTTGCCAAACAGCCTTTCCTTTTCCCCTGGGTCCCCCTTCTTTTTTGGACTGAACAATTCCTACCTTTCCTTCAGCCTGGCTTCTGCTGGGTCCCCAAACTGAGAACCCTGATGACGTGGGAGTCCTAAGCATCTGGTGGCTGTCCTAATTTGGTTTCAGACTGAATATGCCTCTTAAAGATCGTTGAGTACTCTCCCCATAGCTGTAAAGAACGAAGCCCAAAGGGAGCCCGATGAGCTCTAGCTCCTCCAAAAAGAACTCGCTAAAGCTCAGGAGTAACTAAGGGCAGGACGTGGAACAACTGTAAGACTCCGAGTCTCTCTCTCCCAGTCTCAAGAACTGTATGAGTGATATTCTGCACCATGTCCACTAGTAGTCCCCAAAGTAATAGGACAGGACCACACGTCAGAAACTTTATAAAGGCAGAGGTCTGGAGAATTTGGATTCCATGTACAAAATCCAACATGTGATGAAAATGGCATAAGCTTTGGTTCTTATCTCTAAGTTGTTCCTGTGCAGAAGGGTGAAAGTGTGTGAGAACGTAAGGGGCTTTTGTTGTTTGTTTTGCAGAAGAACTCCCTCCCCACAGGGAACAGTTTGCAGAAACCCATTCCTTGTCAAAGCTGTGGGAAGTGAAAATGAATCCCTTGTACTGTGCGTATCAACTTTGAGCAGCAAGCAGACACACTGGTTTCTTTTTTTTTCTCACTTTTTTGCCCCAGTTACAATTCTGGTAACTACACTGTGGTATTTACCATGCTATAACCATTCTTTTCTTCTTACAGAATCTGACATAAGAATGTATTAACTAGATAATTAACTACATAATGTCACGATCCGAAACTCTGCGTAGTGATCTTGCCTTCTGGTTTCTCTCCTGCCCACAATGAAGGTGCCTGCGCGCAGAGCTCTGTCTTGGTCCCTCCGCCTGGTAACCCAGTGCCTCAAACACACAACCTACAGGAGGCGCCCAGTAAGTATTTCCCAAGCAAGCAACTTTATCATTCCCTTAAATTAACCTTGAAGGCCATCAGGGTTTTATGAAGACTATATAAAATATCCAAATTCTATACTGTTCCACCAGTATGCATAATACTTGATGAACAAATGAGTATTGTTAGTTTTTACAAAGAGTAATTAGTATTATATCATTCGTTCTACAAATTCTTATTATGAATAAGCTAGCTACTCATAAATAGTTAGGTGCTGGTTTCGGATTTTCACCTTTTCATTTTTAAAGAGCTGAAGAAAGAATCAGTGCATGGGAGGAGGACAGAAGTGAAACCAACTACTGCACAGAGAGCTTCCCCACACCTCAGAAGGTACAAGACAGTTCCTTGTGGGCACATGAAAACACGGGAGTTGGAAATCGGCGTTTGCAATTGTAAGAACTCACCTCAAGCTCATTCTCATCAAAAATAGCCAAAAGGTTTTCGGGGACCAACTCATTCAGGCCTAAAACAAAATAGCCAAGTTAAAGCCTAGCCACACCACAGAGACGGGTATTTTAATATGAAATAAAGGTCCCACCTTTTAGAAAATGTTCCACCTCCTCTTTTACTTGACTAGCCAACCGATATTGGGCCAGTAGATTTAAATAGAATATTTTATTTCCATTGGTGACTGGAATTTGAGCTCCACCTGTCATGAGTTCTACAACCTGAAGTAGGAGACAAAAGGCCAAGAGGGGTTGTCTATGGGTAGGAGTTTTCAAGATGATAACTGCTCTGTATAATCCAAGCATAGCATTCGTGAGGAAGTCATGGTGGCATAATGGTTACACATTGGGCTGTTAACCTCAAGGTCAGCCATTTGAAACCACCAGCTGCTCCTTGGGAGATATCGGCAGCTTTCTACTCCTGTAAAGAATGACGATCTCTGAAACCCACAGACACAATTCTACCTCGACCTACAGAGTCACATGAGTCAGCACTGATTCAATGGCAGAGAGCATTAATGAACTTTTATCACAGTATCAACCATAAATGTCTGCTGTTCATTCAGCTTCTCAATGTACTTGGTTTTATTTAGTTACTAAGCTTCTAGGTTCCTACCACTCTTGGTGCATCATACTGGCTACAGTTTCTCAAGTAAGTAGCTAGCAGTGATACAACAAGAAGACATTTTAATATCTCTGTGATTCAAAATTAAACCACTACTGATCTCATTAAGGAGCCTTCGTGGTGCTGATAGCCACAAGGTTGGCGGTCTAAGCCATTTAGACTCCTGTTTTTCCTTTGTGTAAAGAAAGGGCTATACTGTATGATCCTCAACCAGAAATTAATTGACATCCCCTATTACACAACTCCTAAATGACTATAAGGAGCCTCAAAGCACAGCTTAAAACCACCAGGTATAGACAATCTGCAAACAATGCCCAAGGCCGCTTCCAGGGATGAATGATGATGTCTACTCAACTACAAGCTTTGACATGCAGGTCCTTAAGACAACACAGCTGGAGCTCTGGTGGTGTAGTGGGTTATGCACTGGGCTGCTCACCACAAGGTCAGCAGTTTGAAATCACCAGCTACTCTGTGGGAGAAAGATGAAGCTTTCTACTCCTAGGGGGTTTTTTTTGCACAACCATTTTATCTAAGTTTGCATTTCTACCTAGTAGCCTAAGTAGTAAATTACTAAGATTTGATAATCACAAATTAGAACCCACACTCCCGTGTTCTTGGGGCCCTAATTCAGATCTCTATTGACTTAGCTGCCTTGCCAGGTTCAGAAAGACAGAATCTAACCACGTGTGTGCATCACTAGGAAGGAGATCTGATTATCAGTGGTACAAGTGGTATTCTTGAGTTGGTCACAATTTTCCACCCGTGGCTAATTTGGCTTTTAGTTATCTATTACATCAACGTCAACATCAAATCATTCGATATTGTTGAACCTCAAAATGTAAACAGAATCATATTTGCATCAGCAATACTTTTTTCTTTTTAAAAAATCATTTTATTGGGGGCTCGTACAACTCATCACAATCCATACATCCATCCATTGTGTCCAGCACATTTGTACATTTGTTGCCATCATCATTCTCAAAAGGACAATTATTTTCTAATAACAGGTTTTAAGGTGGATAGGCACTGCGTTCAACATCCTTATGGCTAACGCAATGTAGATGCTCCTTCTACATCTGCTTGTGTAAGTCAATGGTCTCATTAAGGTGCCTTCTTCCCAGAAAGTAGGAGTGGGTGGTGTAGATATGACCTGTGTCATTTGCTCCATTCAAATGAGCCAAGATTATTAAGTATGCACTGTAACTCCCTAGTGTTACACTGTCCAATATAGTAGCTACTAGTCATTTATGTGGGGAGGCCTGGTGGCATAGTAGTTATGCAATGGGCTGTGTGAACCACAAGGTCAGCAGTTCAAAACCAGAAGCAGCTTCGAGAGAGAAAATTGAGGCTTCCTACTTCTGTAAAAGAGTTAGTCTCAGAAACCCACAGGGGCAGTTCTACCCTGTCCTATACGGTTGCTAGGAGATAGAATCAACTCCATGGTAGTGAGTTTTTCAGAGACATATATGGTTATTTAAATTTTTTAAATTAAGTAAGATTAATATTTTCAGTTGTTTGGTCTTACTAGCCACATTTCAGGTGTTTGGTAGACAATGCCACAACTGCACAAAGTTCTATTAACAGCCCAGCCCTTGAAGTCACCGAGAACATGGGACTCATACACATTGGTCCTCTTCCTCACCTTATCCAGTTGACCTGCTCTGTTATATTTCTCCTCTGCAAAGACCAGCTCCATCTCACTCATGTCATTGTTAAGGATGAAACAAACTTTAGATTTGTAGAATTCTGGGTCATCTGTTTCAAAGTACTGAGGAGATAAAAAGACACAGGACAGAATATTCCTATCCTTGCCCAGAAGTGAAATCTGTGACAGCTTGGCACCACTCACTTGCCAACGCTAAGAACAATAAGTTCAAGGTAGAGCGTTATGTGGTGCTAATGACCAGAAGCTTTAGGAGAAAACATCCCCCCATGACATTACCTTGTAGTGCATGCGCAGTCCTATGATTTGGGCCAGGAAAGAGCGGGTGAAGCGAGCTCGGACCAACTGTTTGTAGGCTCCTCCCAAAGAGGACTCATAGAGGCACTTGCCCACCAGCCGCCCTGCAAACTCATACATCTTCAGGCGCAGATGAGCAGGGCGACTGGGGTTGGGATGTACCTGCCAAAGAAAGAGGCTGCAAGGCCCTGGGCCACTGCTCTTCCAGTCTAATCCTGGAAGACGCTTCTTCCCTGGTCCTGTGCTAAAGGGCTCTGAGCCCATCCAAGTGTCATTAGTCTTTTGGTAGCCACTCTGGATTTATGCAAAGTGATCAGAGGATGAAGAGCAAAGATGCCCTTCAGTGGAAGAAACTCATACTAAGTTTTAGAGCCCAAACTTCTATGTGGGCCCTGGGTGGATATGAGTGCTACTCAGAGGGTGCTCCAATGCCTTTTCCCTAAACCAGACCTTCTCTCAGCCAAAATACACTTCTCCACACTCCAGACACCTCTGCCTAGTCCAAGGTCTAGAACAGAAAGAAATTGTTTCATTTAAGTTTTGAGAAAGTGGCATAAATATTACTGTAATGAGTAGGCTATGTGTTGCATCATAATGTTTCTCATTCAAATAACATCCCTCTGTCTCTATTCTCTCTATCTTTATAGATGGAATAATAAAGGTAAAGAGAAGGTCGCAGTCTATGTATCAAAATTAAGAACAGGAAACAAGTTGGTCAGACTCTCAGAACAGTATCTAACTTCAAACCCTTGTTATTCTACCCACTGGAATAATACCCAAAGGTGGGCAAGTCTTAAGACTTACCAATGCTTGGTTGTTATCACTAAACCGTGTAAAAAGCTGATTGGTGGTATCAAACAGAGCCTTGCAGATGAGCTCGAACCATTCCCGGCGAGGTCCGCCCCAGTCCAGAGCTGAGAAGTATAATAAAGATAGAAACAGATTCTGGCCTACCTCCTCTGACCACTTTTTATCCTTTCATTGCTCATTTTACATTCTCGACAGTCCCATCTCCCCTACCACCTCATTCTTTCACCATCTCAAGGCAAGTAAAATGTGGATCCCCCCCCTTATTTATTTTATTTGGGGTGAAAATACACCCAGCAGATCACCTATCCATTCAACAATTTCTAAACATAAACACTGGTTCCGGTGGTCTCACCATTCTCACTACCTCTCCCCACACTGCTCAGCTTTCTTTGATTTAGACTCACTGCCCCCTGAGCTGCTCATCTGTGTTTTGGCGTTATGCCGTGTGATTTTAAACAGCACAGTGCTCACGGCAGGCATTCTTCGTGAATCCAGCTCAACTACTGTTCAGTTTGAAGGTGACATCTGGGAAGAGCTGGGGTTCAAGGCTCAAAAACTTGACAAGGCAATGCAATTAGGGGTTGAAACGTGAACTTTCCTGAAGTCTCCCAGGCCCCTTCTCTGTGGGATTAATGGTATTCTGATCACTAAGCTGTGCTCCCCTGCCCTCCTTCCCAAAGTGGACACATGGAGACCCAGAGAGTCAGGAAATGGACACTTCACAGCTCCACACGGTCACTTTGCCATTCTGGCTTGAACGCTGAGCTCACCTAAACATCCCTGCATGTCTCTGCACTACCAGCACCAAGCCATCTGGCTGGTAACCACCACCCTGTCTGTCTTGACGCGTGGCTTCTTCTCCCCCCCGAGGAAAAAGAGGGTCTGTTGTTTCTCTTCTCTAAGGGAGCGTGGGTAAGAGCCACAGTCAAGGGAGGCAGAGAGAGAAAAGCAGGTGAACCTGACATTTCAAAACTGACCTTCTTCATCTTGGAAAACCACTTCAAAGTTCTTGCTCCAATCGGAGATGGAGAAATTCCGAGTGGCTTTCAAAGACTGGAAAGCAGTGAGAGGAAGGAAACAGTCAGAACACTGCAGCCACGAGAGTGCTGCCACTGCTGCTGGTTAACTAGCCACTGGCGCGTGGCGACGTGCTAGCCAGAAACCAGCCCGAGGAACAGGGGCCCGTTTAGATTCGCAGCACTCGTGTCTCCAGCAGAAATAGAAGGCTTCAGAAAAATATTTTGTCTTTATGCCATTTATCCTTTTAAGTTGAGTTGTTTTTTGGAAAATTGAAGCTTTTTTTTTTTTTTTAAACAATCCCCACTTTAGTAAGGAGAAAACTCATGCATAAAGCAGCAGAAATTGCTCAAGTCAGGGAGCTGCCCAACGAATGGTTCTCAGTAAAGTACAGGCTACCCAGGAGGCATCTTTCTCCACATTTTCTCCACATGGTGAGGTTCAGACCGGGCTCCATGCCACACCGAGGAAAGGCGTTTCCAGGCGTGCCTACCAGAGCCAAACACCACAAACCCTTCCAGGACAGGGACCAGAACCCTAAGCCTGCTCAGTCCCAGGGAATGCATGGCCTGTGCCAGTGTCTGCAATGCAGACAGACACACGTCAGGTGTTCCTCTGCCATCAGACCAGAATGACAACAAAAATCATTTCCTCTGCACTCGACAAAGCTCTTCTATTGCTCAGATTCAGTCATAACAAGACCTTTCTTCAGTAATAGCTACTCACACCAGCTTACAGTGCCATTCCATGAATGCTCTCAGAAACTAAGCTTGATGCCAACTGGCCTTTCCCCTCGGTACTGTGCTGCCAAAGAATATCACCCATAAAACAGGGGAACAGTCTTTCCAAGATATGCTTAAAGAGAGGAATTCAGGTGGTGCAGAAAGATAACACACTGATGCACACACTGAAATGCTAAAAAATTTCTTCGCTGGCACACTTTGGGAACTGCTGACAGAGATGCACCTTACTCACCGATTCCAACAAGGTGTGTCTGCTGACCTTCAGGGTGACTTTGGAATGTGGCCTCTTCATGTGGGCCTGCCGAAGTTCTCTCTGGAAAAAGTTCACCTTGTCCTGAAAGGTCTCTGAGCCTCCTGAGGAGCATACGGTTACAGCCTTATTACAGGATACCGGTGGGTCCCACCCATCACAATCCCTGTTCCACCTTACCTATGTTCTTGTGGAGGGAGCGGATAAAAGTGGCTGCCAGAATGTTCCTCTCCTTACAGCTGAGCTCCACAGGCGGCTGGATGCCATCGTCTACCACCAGCGTAAGGAGTTTATGAACAGGGTCAGGGCCAAGGTATGAAAACTAGCAAAGGAAGGGGGAAAAAATTAATTCTATGAAATCCTCAAAATGCGCAAAAATCCTCCGCAACCCCTCCTTCTGTACCAACCAACGAGAACCACCTTAGCCGCTGTGTCCATGCCCTTGTCCTCCCCCTCAGTGCACCACGATGCAATGTGATTTTAAATCATGGGGCGGCAGAGACTGCCTTTAGTTAGGATCAGAAGCAACACTGCGGGCCTTCCAGCATAAACTATGTAAAGAATCAAGTTACTAAAGGGGATATGAAATGGCAAAACATCACAACCTGATAATGTTGGGCAAACAGACAGGAGGAAAGTGGTTTTTGTAAAACCGCAATGAATAACCTGGCTCAACTAGTCCAAACAGGAGTTGATTATGCCGAGCCCCACAGCAGCAAAGGGAACCTAAGTGTCCACTTGCTGTCCATGTCTAGCTTTCCTAGGAGCGGCAACCCAAGTCAATAGACTGACTCCAGAGAAGGAACCCTAAGCTAGCCAATCACGACTGCGAGCCATTACAAATGTTTCCTGCTTCTACCTGCCATCAGACTCTGGTCTTTCAGGCCAGACTCGTTCTCAGTTCATGAACTGGAAAATAAGCATATGTTTCCTTTTCTTTTTAAAAAAATCATTTTATTGGGGGCTCATTCAACTCTTATCACAATCCATACAGACATCCATTGTATGTCAAGCACATTTGTACATTTGTTGCCCTCATCATTCTCAAAACATCTGTCTTCTACTTGAGCCCTTGGTATCAGCTCATTTTTTTCCCCTCCCTCCCCATCCCATTACCCTCATGAACCCTTGATAATTTATAAATTATTATTTTTTCATGTCTTACACTGTCCGACGTCTCCCTTCACCCACTTTCCTGTTGTCCGTCTCCCAGGGAAGGGGTTATTTGTAGATCCTTGTAATCGGATTCTCCTTTCTACCCCACCTTCCCCCCACCCTCCTGGTATCTCCACTCTCACCACTGGTCCTGAGGTGTTCATCTGTCCTGGATTCCCTGGGTTCCCTACCTGTACTAGTGTACAGTCTCTGGTCTAGCCGGATTTGTAAGGTAGAATTGGGATCATGATAGATGGGAAGAGGAAGCATTTAAGAACTAGAGAAAAGTTATATGTTTCATCATTGCTATACTGCACTCTGACTGGCTCATCTCCTCCCCGCGATGCTTCTGTAAGGGGATGTCCACTTGCCTACAGATGGGCTTTGGATCCCTACTCCGTACTCCCCCTCATTCACAATGATATGATTTCTTGTTCTTTGATATCTGATACCTGATCCCATCAACACCTCGTGATCACACAGGCTGGTGTGCTTCTTCCATGTGGGCTTTGCTGCTTCTGAGATAGATGGCCGCTTGTTTATCTTCAAACCTTTAAGAGCCCAGACACTTTATCTTTTGATAGCCAGGCACCATCAGCTTTCTTCACCACATTTGCTTATGTATCTGCTTTGTCTTCAGCGATGGTGTCGGGAAGGTGAGCATCATGGAATGCCAGTTTAACAAAGTGTTCTTGCATTGAGGGAGTACTTGAGTGGAGGCTCAATGTCCATCTGCTACATTAATACTAAACCTATAAATACACGCACATAGATCTATTTCCTCGTTATCATCTATAAATATATTTACAAATCAAGTGATACAACCTTGCTTATTGAAAGTAAAGAAGACTTGAAGAACTTGCAGATGAGATCAAGAACTACAGCCATCAATACAGATTCTACCTCAACAAAAAGAAAATAGAAATCCTCACAACTGGATCAATAAGCAACATCATGATAAAAGGAGGAAAGATCGAAGCTGTCTAAGATTTCTTTTTACTTGGCTCCACAATCCATGCCCATGGAAGCAGCAGTCAGGAAACTAGACTCCGTACTGCACTGGGTAGATCTGTTGGGAAAGACTTCTTTAAAGGGTTCACAAGCCAAGATGTCACTGAGGACTCAGAGGTGCCTGCCCCCACCCATGGGCTCCTCAGTCACTCCATGTGCAGGTGAAAGCTGGGCGAGACTGCAGAATCATTGATGCTTTTGAATTATGGTGGGCAAACAAGCTGGAGTCAACAAAATACCAGGAATGGTGGACTGACAAAAGGATGGACAAATCTGTCTTGGTAGAAGTCGTCAGAACGTTTCTTAGAAGCAAAGATGGTGAGATTTGTCCCACCATGCTTTGGTCATGTTATGAGCAGGGGCCAGTTTCTGGAGAAGGACATTCATACTTGATGATCAAGTGAGGGTCAGCAAAAAAAGAGGAAGACCCTCAATGGGACCGATTGACACAGTGGCTTCAACAATGGACGTAAACATAGCAATGGTGGCACAGGACAAGGCAGGGTTTCATTCTGTTGTACAGAGTACTGCGGTAAGTCAGAACCAACTCCATGGCACCCAACAACAATCCTGGCGTCCAAAGGTTAAGTGTTGACATATGCTGAGTTGCTGTCCTTCATGCCGTTTGGCAGATAAGGACCCTTCTGTGTTTGGCAGTAAGCTGTGTGTGCAGAGGGAGAACTCCCAGAAGCTCTAGGAAGGAAGCAAAGGCTGAGAAGTTCCACACCTGTTCAGTGAACCAGATGGAAGGTCCAACTTACTTTTGTTCCTGGACAGACACGGAAGGTGTACAGTCGCCAGGGGATGATTTTCAGGTAGAATTCCTTCACTGAGAATTGCTGGAGGGCCAATATAGAAGATAAAAAGGTTTTTATCTATGTGGGTTTTGAAACTAAAATATCAGCATTCTTATTTACAGTCTCATGTTCACCAATTAATTTTCCTCATGGAAAAGAGGATAATTTAATCTATACAAAACCAAATAAACTCATCACCTCTTATCTTAAAATAGGCATATTGAAAATAATATAACAATGTGATTTCATAGAGACATTTCATAATCTTTTTTTTAAATCGTTTTATTAGGGGTTCATGCAATTATTATCATAATCCATACATACATCAATTGTGTAAAGCACATTTGTACATTCATTTCCCACATCATTTTCAAAGCATTTGCTCTCCACCTAAGTCCCTGGCATCAGTTCCTCCATTTCATAATCTTTTTTTTTTTTTCGGGGGTGGGGTGGGTGGGGGTGATTAACATTTTCTTTTCTTTCTTTTCTTTTAACATTTTATTAGGGGCTCATACAACTGTTATCCCAATCCATACACACATCAATTGTGTAAAGCGCATTTGTACATCGTTTCTCAAAA